ATGCATCCGACAAGGGATTAATATCCAGAATATACATAGAACTCAAGCAATTATATAGTAAAAAAACAAGTGACCCAATTAAAAAAAAATGGGCAAAGGAGCTGAATAGACATTTTTTTCAAAGGAAGACATACAAGTGGCAAATAGACACATGAAAAAATGCTCAACATCACTAGTCATCAGGGAAATGCAAATTAAAACTACAGTGAGATACCACCTTACCCCTGTTAGACTGGCTGTAATCTAAAAAACGGTGAATAACAAATGCTGGCGAGGGTGTGAAGAGAAGGGAACACTCCTACACTGTTGGTGGGACTGTAAATTAGTACAACCACTATGGAAAGCAGTATGGAGGTTTCTCAAACAATTACGGATAGATCTTCCATACGATCCAGCAATCTCTCTTCTTGGTATATACCCAAAGAATGGAAATCATCATGTCGAAGGGATAGCAGCACTCCCATGTTCATTGCAGCTCTGTTTATAATAACCAAGATATGGAACCAACCTAAACGTCCATCGATGGATGACTGGATAAGGAAACTGTGGTCTATATACCACGGAAAACTACAGTGCCATAAAAAAGAATGAAATACTCCCATCTGCAACAACATGGATGAGCCTGAGAAAACTTATATTGAGTGAAATAAGCAAAGCACAGAGGGATAAATACCACATGTGCTCACTCATATGTGGGAGCTAAGAGAAAAAGAAGGAAGGAAAGAAAGACCACAGCAGTGCATTGTTCTTACTGAGGGAGGGAGCATTCCTAGGGCTACAAAGTGGAGTGGGGGGAAAGGGGGAGAGGGAGTGAGGTTGGGGGATAACTGGGTGGGGGACATGGGATACGTAAGTAACTTCTGGAAATGGGTATGCTGCCAATAGGAATCTGACCTTCCCATCATGGCATGAAGGGTGACAATTAACTTTGTATCTCATGAATATTTATAATAAAAACAATTTTTTAAATTAAAAAAATCTTTCCACAAAAAATGTTTGTTCAAATAAATTGTGATGTATCCTTACTATGACATAGCATGCATCCATGTAAAAGCTATGTAGCTGAAAAACTATGTTTATTGACTTTAAACATATTTCTGTTCTTGGTGTATTTGAAATGAGAAAATTGGATTACCAAGCAATCTGTGTGACATAGTCTCATTTTTTAATCATTGTAACATGCGTAATAAAAATCTAAAGGAATATAGTATAAAAGTTAATGGCAATTATTTCTAGGAGTAAGGAATTACCAGTAGCTCTAATTTCTTCTTTTTGCATACCTGTATTTTTTATCTATTATGTATCTATAGTGAACATGTATTACTTTGTGAAAAAAGAAAGAGTAACTTACAAACAAAACAGATGATGATACATACCAAAGCCTCAGTTTTGCATTTTTCATCTCTATGGGAGCAAAGAGCCAAAATGTGGATTTAAAAGGATGATAAAACTAAGTCAAAATATTCTTCTGTGTTTCTCTGTGGCACTGCCATGGGCAGAGCTAAAAATTTAAATATCCTTCTCACCAGGTGCAAGTAGATGGAAGACGCTCATATAAGTATGGAGCTGTCCTATTAGGAATACCAACCTAGATGCCAATAAAAGTAGTCTGAAGCTTTTTTACTCTAATGCTTTCATGTTAAATTCAGGGGCATGACTAACAGGAAAGTAAAAGTCAACCCAATATCTGTTATGTTTGTAAGAAATTTTCTTTCACCCAAATTTTCCCTGTTTTTGATTTCACAAGAACACACTTACCCCAACATACCAAGCAATAGTTTATTACAGCTTTCATGAAAGCCGAAAGAACTTGGTAATCAAAAATAGTGATGCTTCCACGTGAATACACATAGTTTGGACTTGTCTATCACTAAAAAGCCTCAAGGGAATGGAAGACATAAATGGTATAATTTTAGTTCTAAACTGTTTTAAAAACATGTTCCTGCACGTTTTATAGCAGCGGGAGCTAATGTCCATCAGCACTTATTTATCTGGAAAGCTGCTTACGTGTGTTACTGAATGTAAAGATGGATCCTGGCCTTTTATCTAAAATAGCATCCAATAATGCAAATGTTTCATTCACTTTCCTTTTCTTTTCCCTAGTTTTGGGAAATTTTTTTATCTTTTCATGCCACTATAAAAATGTATTAAGTGGCTATTAGAAAACACAAAAATTACCATGTCCTGCAGTGGCTTTCAAATAGTACCCAATGGAAGTTCTCTCCCCTTGCTTCCATTAGAGAAGATATAAAGTATGTTTTGAGCTTCCTTGTAAAATGCCAAGGTTAACTCCTTGACTGGCTTAAAAATGCTAGAAAGACAAAGCCCAAAAGGCAATGGGGATATAAGGCCTTCTGCACATTTTCCGCTATTTATTTGTATGGTTTGCATGTCCCAATATATGCCTTGCTCTTTCTTTGCCTCAGTGGCTTTTCACAATCTGCCATCTCTACTGGAACCACTTTCTATCCTTGACTGCCAAGGAAATGCTGGCTGCTGGCTCACTTGCTCAGACATCTCCCACTTGGTGTAACATTCAATGAACACTTTCCTTCCCACCTTCCCCAGAAGAGTTAACCATTCCATCCTCTGGGCTTCTTCTCACGCCTTACAGAGAATCCCATTAGTCCATGAATCACTCTTAGCTATAATGATTTGTTCTATGCATACTGCTTTTACCAGAAAGTGGGGTTTTTGAGACCTAAGTCTAGGTTGTATATCTTTTTTATCCTATCATTGGCATAGGACTTTTTTCAAAAGTAAGGAACCAGTAAAAATTGGTTGAATTGGACTGAAAGACTATGTCAAGATATCAGAAACAGTAAAACAGAAAGGAAAAGAGACGGAGGGGAAGAGAAGCTGAGAGAGTGGGAGCGGCAGGACAAGAGGGAGATTGGGAAGGAATTATGTGTTGAAATGCCTAAGAGTGTAATGACTTTGCCATGTTAAAATCTGATTTTTGGGCCGGCCCGGTGGCGCACTGCGCTAGTGCGCCGCTTGGGAAGCGCGGAGGCACTCCCGCTGAGGGTTCGGATCCCACATACAGACCAGTTCCCGCTCACTGGCTGAGCGAGGCGCAGGGGCAACACCGAGGGTTGCTATCCCGTTGCCGGTCCCGGTCC